ATATTTGAAACAGGACCGCTTACGTAAATAAATCAATTAAAGTAATAAAATTAAATATATAAGTCAATTACTGTTAAAGTTAAATTTTTAGGGTAATTAATATATTTTTATATATATTTATCTCAGAATTTTGATTATACACCGATGTTTGAACTTGCAACAATCTGAGATACTAGTAATCCTCCCCAAATTAAATTAAAATTAAAAAGTACTTATTGCAAAAAATATTTTTATCTGTGAGAATACTAGTCTCTGTGAGAACAATTGAGCTAGCATGAACATAATACACGAAATCCGAATCCAATTCCCTACCTAGGTAATATTTTTCGCAATAAGTTGTAAGTAATTCTTTAATTTAATTTTGGAGAATTTTATTAGTATCTCAAATTAATTTTGAGTTACAAATCCGAAAGTAAGTGGCGCACAATTATAGTTCTGAGATAATTACGTTTAAAATACATATTGATGTATTACTCTAAATATCTAACTTTGATCATAATTGACAATCTCGTATTTAGTTGATATATTCAATTAATATTATATCAATTCAACATAACTTATACATTTAGTAACGCGATGTAATTGCCATTAACAAATCCATATACCAATCTCATTACTTAATAATTGCTCGATTACTGATGTATTAAATATTCATCCATCTGAACATTCTCATCATATATATAAAGGAAACCAGTTCTTCGTTACTTCTACTAAATAATTTTATATGATTTGAATAAGAAAGAATACTTTTAGAAGTATGCAAATGTTAGTAGAGGAAAGTTTGAAATACCTTTGGCAGACAATATACGTTGGATTCGACGTCTTCTTATAAAAACACAAATTATTTTCTATATAATTTTTACAATAGAAAATTTGTTTTCAAAGCAGAGAATTTGTATTTTAAAGCAAAGAGTATGTGTTTTTAAAGCAAACAAATACCTAACCAAAACAAGTTCCCTGCTGTAAAAATAAAAATTATATAGAAAATAATTTGTATTCTTGAAGCAAAGAATGTGTTTTAAAGCAGAGAATTTGTTTAATTAAAGCAAAAAAATACTTATTGTAGCTTCACTTACACGTTCCTATGTCTTTATGCCATTGATATAACAAATTTCCTACCTGAGTCGTCGACTTTAACGATTAATACCTCAGTCTACAGGACACAGCGACACTTTTTTTGTCAGATTCCATTTCGTGCAAAAACGCATTGAATGAATTCAATTTTATCAACATCGGAGGTGAGAAAGCTAAACTCAATAATTATTACCTATTTATTATTACCAAGACATATACCAAGACATATACCGACTTTACCGATCCTGTTGTTTTGAACCGACCGAGACACTATCGTAATACAGATCGCAGCGCTCGCTGATCATGTATATCACTAGTGCTCCTTGCGAAAAAAATATTAAAGACACCAAAGAAATACGCGGAATATGATCGACGACAATGACGACGTATCTAAATCTAAAAAATTACAGATCCGGATTTTGCGTCGCAATATCTCCATTTATAGGGTACGTAGGTAAAAAATAAAAGCACATATAATACAATCGGAGTGTAAGCTATCGATTGAGTGTACTTGAAACGATTGTTTGTCGATTGGGTCATTGCAGAGATCCGATAATCTCGATCTAGCGCAACTTGCCAGCTCGCATAAAAGAGCACAGCAATCTCATACCGTGTCTCCAGATTAAAAAAAAAATCGTTTTCTAAACGTTTCCTTGACAAGCTTTCTTTGAAGAACGAATGCAATCTGCGGCTTTTCAAAAATTTATAACTTGAAAATAAAGTCATATGTTGATAAACGTCATGTATATTTTTATAACCCAAACAATCATCCAAAAAATTGCATCGGAAAACTCAATAAACATTTTCCTGGGGTTTTCCTTGTGAGTTAGTTTTTCATTCGTACAACTTTTAATTGTAAATTAATTTTACAGGCCATTAACTTTAATTTAATTTAGTTAAAAAGTAAAATTAACTTATTCGACCTTGAAATACTTATGACACTAAATTTGTAAATTATTTATTATTTTTTCTAATTTGTTTTATTTTTTATTTTTTTCTAATTTAATCATTCTTTTGTTTTTCACATGATTTTAATTTCATAACTAATTCTTTTAATTTATAATATTCTTTTTTAGTTCATTTAATTGTTTTTTTTTTTGGGTGTCTAACTAAGTTTTATTCTTACAAAATCGACTATTTTTTTAACTTTTTATTTTCACAATTTTTGCATCATTTTATCACAAATTGGATTTGGATTTTGTATAATTCTCGTCTTTGACTGACGAATTAGTTATCGCAATTTTTCATTATTAATTCTAGGGACTTACTTGGTTTTATTATTCGACTTGGTGGTATAATTTTTACTATAATTTTATTGCAGTTCGTATGACTACCAATATGCATATATATACAGGATGTATCATTTTAATTGACGCACTAAAATATTTTTTGAAGAGTGCATTTTAAAGAAAAATATTTTAGACAAAAGTTATATGATATATAAATAAAAGAGCAAAAAAGCCACACGCTGGAAGTCCTTAGCGAAAGTCATATATTTAAAAATTCTTCAAGTTGACATAAATAAACATAAATGTTTCGGCCAAGATCTTCAGTATGTAAAATAATTAAATAAGTAAAATAATGAAGTTACAACAAAATTAGTTATATAAATAAACGCAAAACGTAAAATAACCAATTTTCTAGCAAGAGTTGAGCCAATGTCGATCAATTAATTCGTCAAGTTAATCCTCATGTATTTGGTCTAATTAAGATTGCAGTATCACAAAATTACCAAGTTCTATATTAGACAATAACAGATTTTTAGTCCAATGTCAATTCTTTATTACGTCAAGGTAATCGTCGTATCTTTGGTTTCTAAAGGATCGACATTGGGTTAAAAATCTGTTATTTTACAATCTGCGTTTAATTATGTAACTTATTTTATCACATTGAATCAAAATTGTGACTTCATTATTTTCGCACATCTTTGATATCTCTCTGATATCATAGAACTTGGTAATTTTGTGATAAACTGCAATCTTAATTAGACCAAATACATGAGAATTAACTTGACGAATTAATTGATCGACATTGGCTCAACTCTTGCTAGAAAATTGGTTATTTTACGTTTTGCGTTTATTTATATAACTAATTTTGTTGTAACTTCATTATTTTACTTATTTAATTATTTTACATACTGAAGATCTTGGCCGAAACATTTATGTTTATTTATGTCAACTTGAAGAATTTTTAAATATATGACTTTCGCTAACGACAGCGTGTGGTTTTTTTGCTCTTTTATTTATATATTGTATATTTAAACCATATTTGACAAATTTAAAAGTTATATGGTTTGGAAGAGGATATATGATGCTATTAGTTCGACTTTGAAAAGTGATTTGGAGGTCATCAATTTCTTAAATGGAATTCTATATATTGTATTTCATTGCATATTCTTGTAGTTTATCTCGAAAACTTTTCAAAACATTATAATTAAGTTCATTTTCATTAATGTTCTTTTCGAGTTATAAGGTTTGCAAGTTACAGCACCGATAGCTAAAACTTCTTGAATGTTATTTAAGACCATGACCTGGATAACATTTGTCAGGATTAAAGTCACAGGAGATTGTTCCTCTTATTTTCATTTTTGCACCAAAAATTACATTTCTATGTAAAAATGAGAATAAGAGATACAATCTCCAATGGCCTTGATTTTGACAAATGTTACCAGTCATGATCCTGAATAATATTCAAGAGGTTTTAACTGTCAGTCGGACACCTTGAATAATACTAATGCCGGCGGTACTGTACTTTTAAAGCCTTATAACTTGAAAAGTATTAAAAATAATTTCATTATAGTGTTTTGAAAAGCTCTCGAGGCAAGTTACAAGAATATGCAAAGAAATATATGGGATTCCATTTAAGAAATTGATGACTTCTACGTGATCTTCAAACAACTTTCTAAGGTCAAACCAATAGCACCATCTTATGTCTCCTTCCAAACTATAATACTTTTGTCTAAAACATTTTTCTCTAAAATGTACTGTTCAAGAGGTATTTAGTGTGTCAATTAAAATGATATACCTTGTATATATAATTCACACTGAATCATTTAAGTATTAAAGATTTAACCATTATAGGAATTTGATTTTTTATTGGTTGTGTTCTTACATGTACATACAGCCTAAAAATAAGATTCTTATTATATTAGGTCTGTTTGTATTACTGCACTTTTTGTACTCAGCATCTTTTCTTTCTTTCTTTTCAAAGCCCAAATATGTGTCTATCTCATTTTAAGTTCAAAAATTATTGGAGATTTCAAGCAGCGCAAACAGACTTGTTATCTGACTTTTGACATAGCCTTTATTGTCTCTGTATTTATACTACTTCAACACATATTATTTTTACTGGGTCTATTCATTTACAATCTGTTCATTTTAACATTAAAGTCTCTTCAATATAACTTTATAGCATCAACATCATTATTTTATTACTTATTTCATTATTGTTTATCACGCTGATATAGACTAAATACAAAGCTCTTTTGTCCTTCTAAATTATTAGAGAATAAATTATTTACTATATTACTTAAATTTATTATCTTTATCTTTTCCCCTTGGCTCTTGTCCTTCTAATATTGCTGTGCAACTAACAAGCATTATATTTCAATTATTTGTAACATTTTTAAAATTCGTATAACAAATCAAACTAAGACTCCTTATAAATCAAAGAACTGGAAAGGATATGGACAGTAGGAATCAAGTGTAGATGTCGCGCAAATAATATATCTATGAAGTGTGAAACTTCTTTATTCACTAAAACGTACTAAGCTAGCAGTGCGTTTTAGTGAATAAAGAAGTTTCACACCTCATAGACATATTATTTGCGCGACGTCTTCTGCATTTAACTTTTACTGCCCGAATCTTTTCCAGTTCTTTAAAATTTGTTTTCAATAGACATGGCAATTTGGAACTTTCTTGACATACCTGTTTTTTGTATGTGAAGAAAGACCATAACATCGTGAGCATTGATATCAAATTGAAAGGTGTCATTGGCAAAGATGTCATCATAGCCTAGACTACCCTGGATGCTTTGTAGCTTGAAGGCGGGATGCACCGAGAGCAAACCGTTTCTATCAAGTTCGATGGAAACTGAAGAGAGCGCAGCGGAACCAGCGACAGGTGATCCAGGGACGATGGACAGGCTTTCTGACAGTCCAATAGACTCCCTGATCTCGCGGTTTGTCAAAGCGCACACGTGATCCGGGCAGAAGTAGCCTAGGTAAATGATCCCAGTCAACGCAAGGAACAGGCATATCCCGATGATGCTACGTAGACGATTCTTGCGTGGGTGCCGCGATTCCATTCTCGTCGCGGACCTTCCGTCGTATATATTCTCCTTCCCCTCCCCCCCGTCTTCCTTCTCACCCTCCTGCGTCTCCGACGCGACTAGCACTTCCAGCTCGCTAATAGTAGCGTCTATCTCCGCATCGACACCCGTTCGTCTGCCCATTATTATCGTCACCCATGTTTTATGTTGCTTAACACTAGCAACTTCACCAACTCTTAACGAACTGTTGAGTACCACAATTGACGTTTATCATCGCACACTGACATGATCCGGCTGTAAATACACTCAAGTGTATCAGCCATGACAAAAAAAATAAAAGTTCGCTTAAAACACTCGATTAGGATTGACAAAAATTTATTTGCCAAGGAATCACACTATATTTCAATAACATAGGTGCAGGGGAATAATTAGAAAATATATTCTATTTTGATAACGATTGCGTATCAAACTTATTTAACAAAATTTGTCGCACTTATAGCACACAGGCAGTCACGGACTACATTTATACAATCAAGAGAGAAACTGAGATGGTTAAGATAGGCCCAGGGGTTCCAAACTCCTAGTATGTTAACACATAAAATATAAGAAATTTAATCAATCAGAAATTTTTATTTCATGGAAAGGAAGGAAACGGAGGACTTTGGAGAAATTGGTTTATTTTCTTATGCATTACGTGTTATGCATTATGCAAGAGTCTGTGCTCCTCGCTTTATGGTTCCTGCACACTGGACACGGAAACGTTTTCCGCGCGGCAAGATGAGACGCGGTAATCAATGAACACATTAGGAGCTGTAAGCTTATTGGCTATCGCATTACAGTGCGCTTGTCGCGCAAGCGTTTTCGCGTTCAGTATGCAGAAGCCATTAGTGGCGCCGCCGCTGTAACTAGAGATATCCTATAAATTCATAGCTGCGTTCCGTTTCGGAGTATATCCACACAAACTTGCACAGCCGCATAAATGTATGCATAACAAAAATTATCCAATCACATTTTATGTGCGTTTTTATAATGGATGCATCCAGAAGCACGATAACTCACTGAAAGCTCAATGAACTCTTTTACCTGTTTGGTCTACATTTTTAGATCTAATGGAATATGCCAATCAAATGCAAGAGCTCACTGAGCTATCAGTGAGCAATCGTGCTTCTAGATGCACCTAATAGCTCCGTCAAACCAGCGCGATGTTTGTCGCGCGCGACACGCGATATCCAATGACAGTATACCTTTAGAATAAAAACATCGGTAAAGCTGTACATTCATTGGATATCACGTGTCGCGCGCGACAAACATCACGCTGGTATGTCGAAAATATAAGAGAAATGCGATTACATAATTTTCTTTATGAGAATATATCCTCAACATGTGCATACTGCATCGTTTATTCTTGTTGTTCACCGATTGTTAAACAAGGATAAATGATGCATTATGCGTGAAACAAAATGCACTCCACTATATGTAGATTGCGTTCCTTAAGAATGCCGTCACATGCGGTGTAACTTGCGTAAGCGTAACTTTCGTCGACTAATCATATTGTTTCACTTGAATATCAGTTTCCGTTTAGTTACTTTTTACTATAGAGGAGCGCGTTCAGATTCCCACCTAAGTACATTTCAGACATCATGTTATCTTTGTTTTACATTCGGTGATATTAAAAATAAAAAAACACCTGGGCAGGGTTGGATTTGATATACATTCTGAAAGTTTGATACATATGATACGTATAAATGCGTATCATACATATAGTGTTTTCGGCCCAACCGGATTTACCCATCTTGGGTTAAAAAATGTTTCGCTATTGATTGACGTTACACGCTCTACCAATAGGAGATCACGAAACATCATTACTTCAACCCAGGTTAGTGCAAACTCGCTCGGACCGAAAACGCTAATAAAATATATATTAAACTTGAATGATACCTTTAACATAATCCAAACCTTTAATTTATTAATCTTATTGATTAAAAAAAAACAATGTTTTTAGGTTTTTAAAATTTTGAAGTATATTACTGATTGAGAATAACTCCAAAAATTTTCCAATTTTATTAAAAATGTAGTTTACAAATAAAAAACGGAAAGGAAATAATATTGAAAATGTAAGTGCAGTATATATTGTACATGAATTTGGTATACAATAATATTAGTAATTCGTTGTAATTTTTACTCTTATAGCGTGGATTTAATTTGAAAGTAAATATATATAATCTGATTATGTCATAGTTTTCTAATTAGTTTTCAATATAATTTTATATTGTCGTATTTCAAATTGTTGATATCGCAGTAAAATATAAATTTGTTTTGCGTATAATATACAGGGTGTTAATCACCGGTCGATTTGAATTTCGCGCTATTTTTAAAACGTCAAACCGATTAACCTCAAACTTCACATATGTCATCTAGACAGATGGGAAATTAATCATGGAAAAGTACACGGTGAAAGAACGCGTGGAAATTATTCAGGCGTATCACGATCTTAGATTCGGCATCGTTTTAAAAATATCGCGAAATTCAAATCGACCGGTGATGAATGGGACACCCTGTATAAACGCATGAATGTATGAATATCTGGACGAAGCTAGCTTATGGACTAAGGAACCGAGACACAGTTCATACAGCGCAACTCCCTGGCACCTTTGATGTTAGTGTTGACCAAAATGAAGTGCGCATGCGTAAAATAAGCAAGTTACCTAGCGTTGCCATGATTACCACCTAAACTTATTTCTCTTTTCATGCTTTTTTCGTTCTGTCAAAACTCACTAGATTTATTCGCGTCGCACTTCAACAAATGCGTTGGAGTGAGTAAGAGCTGTTAGAGGAGTATATTAGAGTATGCAATGTATGCAAACGAATAAACCTATTCTAGAGTCAGTAAACATAATAGTGGCAAAAAAAACGTGAAATAAAAATAGATTACGCATGCGCGTTGAATAAATTTTGATAAACTTCTCGGTCTTCTCGTGCCTTTTACAATTATTTACTGACTTGTCATGGGAGTTAAGGACAGTCTTTATCCATTTTTATAAGTATTGCAAGAACCGACCAACCACAGGCGAGCATTCCTCTCTTTTTCGACTGTAAGAGGGAAACGCATTGTTCTTGTTGTTAACCATAGCCGATGCTTAGCCGTAGAGATATGTATGTTTGGTGGCTGTAGACTGTAGTCGACGATCGTATATACTGAAGAGATTAAAAAATCCGAACCGAAAACTGGACTGAAACATATCCGAAAAACATTTTTGGTGCGGTTACGATTTCGATCTATTAGCTTGCACAACATTTCGGTCCAGTTATTGATTTCGGTCCGATAAAAATATCTGTTATCAGTTTCAGTTTCGGTTTCGGTTTCGGTCCGGTCCGACTGGTTTTTTGTTTCTTAAATTTTTTTCTTTTCGGTTCATTACTAAAAAATTACGTTTGAGTATAGAATGCATGTACGATTAACAAATTTAAGTCACATTAGCTATGTTTCTTTATTTAATAAAAAGTGTCCAATTGGACAATTAAATGTACGGAATTATCAGTATAAAATTATTATTGTGAATTTAATTACAGATGCAAATATGACATATGTAAACAAATAATTAATAAGTATTTTGCATAATAAATGTTAGCGTAACTCTTAAAGATATAACACTAACTTTCGCAAATATAAAAGTAAATTAGCATTACATAAAAAATATATTTTGCAACTATATTCAACAGTTACACTAACAAATTATTATTAATTATTTTTTACAAAAAAATTGGCAAATAAAAATTCAAGAAACAAAAAATTTTTTTTAAATAAAAATTTTATGGTTTCATTGGCAATTCGAGATTTTTTTAACAGCAAATTCAATTTTTTTTTGATAAATTTTGATGCCAGACAGAACTTTTAATTTTAAAAATTAGAGCCACAGTAATTAAAAAAAAAATTGTTATCTCAGCTCTTAATAATCGGAGGATAATCTTCTTTTTTTAAATTTATAGAACAATGTCAGATTTCGAATGCTTCATATGCGGCTATTTGATTATACGATGCATAAACGAAATTATTTCATTTTTTTATACGGAAAAAGATACCCACTTTTTAAAGTCGTTTTATAATAATTTAACTGCAAAAAAATCGTTTTGTTATTAAGTGTATGTGATAGTGCAATTCTTGAAGAAGAAAAATCACCTCTGTAAATTGCTGTGCGAAGATGAAGAAATTAAGATTTAATCGCAGGCAGTTTTTTAGTGAATAAATGGCTTTTTACAAAAACTAATGAACATTTCAGGCTTGTTCAAGGCTAGATTTGTTTGTCATTACGAGAATTTCAGAGTTTTGCGTTTAAATCTCAATGAACAGAGAGCGAGGGATAAAAAGGTTTTTGTTTTTTATTTTTTTTCTACTGAACTAATAATTGATTTTAATATTTCACGTCTCATTTTATAGATATTTTGAAAACTACATCTTTTTATACCAAATTTTTTTCCATACAATCAATATCTTTCGTTTTATAAGCAAAAACTTTCTTTTTGCAACTATTCGATTTTTTTCGCATATTTTCTTCACAAGTCTCGAGTCTCAAACATACGCATTTCTTTTCTGAAGGCTTTTGGAGACTTTTGTGAAAAGAAATGCTGCTTTATAATTTGTTTCCGGTAAAATTCTACTTCTACTGAACTATTCTTGTTACTCGAGTTTATGGAGAAAAGATATACTATATAACGCGTATAAAAAATCGTAAACAAATATCTCACAAATTGTTGCGTTTTAACATGATTTATACTATTCTGGATGAATGAGAGGTACACTATTACTACAATTTATTAAAACTTATATGTTATTTAAAACGCCCTCCGCCCTTTATTAATGCCTAAGGCCGCCGAGCGGTTGAGGTTGCCGAGAAAGCATTTTCGGTCGCTTTAAACAAGTGATTAGTGTGAGAAGGAGCTCGCTGCCTCGTTCACTCTCGGTACGTCGCAGGCGAACACACGAACATGAGCTCGTGCTTAAGTGTGGCTACCGGTTTCGTCAGACCGCCGTCTGATTCTGTGTTTCACCATCGTTAACGCAGAGTTCTTGGTTGAGTAGGCTGAGTCAGGAGGCTTAACAACTATAGAGAGGAAATCCGTCATATCGACGAGATGCAGTGACATGTACGAACAAATTCTCTGCTTAACAAACAAATTGTCTGCTTTAGAAATAAGTTCTCTGCTTTACAAACACAAACTTATTTCTAAAGCAGACAATTTATTTGTTAAGCAGAGAATATATTATAATTGTGAATTATGACATTAAAGAAAATTATTTTTTATATGAATTAAAGTTTAGATCTAACATTTCTTTAAATGTGCAGACAATTCTCCGAAATAGCATTTATGTATGCGAAGTTTATTATAATCATTCGATATCTCTAGCGTAGTTACTAAAATGCATGCGCACATGGCCATTGCGCATCAACTGTAATTGGTGCAGAACGCTTGTGATTGATTCCGTGATTTTGTTCTGCGTTATGCCTAATTTACACTGGACGCAGCAAGCGTTAAGCAGCGGAGCAGCAACTAATCAGTGAGGCGATATTTAC